ATGCTGTGTTCACCTTCTTTGGGGAGCTTCCAACTGATCAATACTTGACGCTATAAGCTAGGACAAAAGAACTCACCCAAAAGAGATTAAGGCGACAAAGATGCACGTGCTGGTGAACAGTTCCGTGGTGCTTTGTGATTTGATTTGATCTTAAGCATCGTTTTAAAACACGGATTTTCGGTCCAACTTCGATATTTTTCGTTCCCTCTGGGTTGACCCCACTCCTCATAGAAGTCCACAGTGAACATTCTAAGCCGGATCTCTTAAGTAATCCTGCACCTGTCAATGACCACTCTTGATAGCCCCAGCAAGTCCAGATTATTCTTCCTGGTAGGGTGTGCGTATATGACGGTAACGTTTCAGGATCAAATTGCTATTTTAGATGACAACTTTTGACGAATTGTCGGACTCTAACGTATTGAAACCTAGTTAAGATATCTGGGGAACTTCGAACTTACTTTGTAGTCTTATCGTTTTAATCGACCTTATTTTCGCGATACAAACGTCAGCATCTCAACGTCTTTAGTTCTTTGATTCAAGCGATTGCATGCTTCTAGAAGTTGGAACAGGTTTTAATGAACAACATTCTGTGTGGTGACAGCAATTCGAATGATCTTTCCGTTAGAAAATTAAAATAAAATTGAAGCGTGACAGCATGAGGAAACGATCCGACACAGTTGAAAATCTTGGAGATACGTACGTCTGAGTGCTGTCGGAGTAAGGCGCCATGAGCAGGATCAATCCAGCAACCAAAGTCATGTGACCCCGGTCACAAAGTTGTGAAGATCCTACAGTCGTTTGACTTTTTACACTGCGGTATCCTGATCCACGTGAAACTGTCGACGGCACGCGTTTCATACTTTTCAGCGTAGCGCATATTCTAGCCAGGTTTTTGTTCGCTGCTAATTTTCTATCCGCTGAGGTTGACACTGATTACAAACATTCAGTCACCAGTCAATCTGACATCGCTACTTACTAGCTTGGTGTCGCGCGGCTGTTTGCGAAAGATCATCCTAGCACTAGCAATTCGGACGGGTAGTCGTGTTGTTGAAAGCGTTTTGTCTCCAAACGCATGCGTGACATCAACCTGAATCAAACTGTTCATTGAGGCTTATTGATAAAATTACTTGCGTCGTGTGTTCCTTAATGACTGAATTACTTGACATCATTGAGTTCCTTCCAGACGTTTCTACATCCATCCGGTTCGCCGAAGTTCCAGCCGTCCTCGCACTATCAGACGCACCTTATCTGTTATCCGCGTATCAAAAATCCTATTGCCCCGCTGTTTACTTCCAGGATACTGTTCAGGTCATGACGGCGTAGTGGATGCGTGCGACAGATTCGATTAACACCCTACTGAGAGCCGATGCAAGCGCACCAGGTGAATATTCCGTGGAATCTCTGATAAAAAGCACGCGTACGTATGAACAGTGAGAATTGGGATACGTGCAGGGGAAACTCTTCCACAAGTTTTGATCCTACACAGAGGAAAACATTTCGACTCTCTAGCTCCTCTAAACAAAGGTTTAATGTGGATCCACTCCATTGAAACTGAAGGAATATTTGGGCGCTCTCTGTGTGAGTACAAGTTTACCAGGTCATTTCTATATGGGCTACATGGGCTGCTATTGAGTCACAGCACCCGTAGGACATCAGAGAACTCAACCAAGCGGAAACTCGAGTTCACCGTAGCTCGCGTTCCTCTGAACGGAAATCAATCAATCAGCTTGATGATTGGGTTATTATAGTGTCAGCTGAAGCTGCTTCCATCGCTAAAGACATTTCTCGTCTATTATTCGATTAGAATAACCACATACACTTCATAGAACGTATTTGAGCGAAGACCTCTTCTGTGGCACTTTGGCTTTAGACCCTACCACTGATGTAGTAGCCAGAGCTGCTTCAAATCGCTCATCTGTAACACCCTTCCAGTGTCTAGCTGCGATGCTACCCGAAAGAAGCACGAGGGCTGAGATACTGCCAGGTTGCCCAAGCCTAGACAGTGGAAGTCGAAAGGCAGAGGTCGCGTTCGAACCACGAACCCTCCGGTCAGTAGATTCGCGCTCCAACCACTTGGGTCATCTCCCCTCCCCCCAGAGCTGCTCCATTTTACTGTGAATCCCTCCTGGGATCTATGGCCGTTCGCAATTAGTTGACTTATATTTTACTTTTCCAATTACGGTTATCAATGTACACAGGCTGCTAAGTTTTTCAGTTTCGTTTTTCGGCTAACAGAACCTTGTGATCCAGCTCATATTCGTCATTGGAACAGTTAGTTGCTTGTTATTTTGTAACCCTCGGGAAATTCAGTCATTCCCCCACTCTCTGCGGACTGGAATGACGTTTATTTGCTACTATGAATCCTATACGTTCGTGAGACGTACATCCGCCGGCCGCCTTTGCTCAATGCTTGACAGTCCGTTTTTTCGGCATGGATATTCTTCACTTCTTTCCGGGGCTGCATTGAGCTCAAATCTACTCAGTTACGTTCTTTCTGGATGACTATACGCTTTCTATACTTTACGCACCTGCCTAGGTGGACTAAAAGAGTCGGGGACGGTGTCGACATTTAGCCTTCTGACAAGATTGGTGAATCCCTGCTGAGCGACTTTTCCCATGCAGTGCTTCCACATTTGGGCCTCTTATTTTTCTGTTCATGGTTGTAGCTACTTAAATCTATTTTTAAGTAGCATGATTACAAAGGAAAAACTAACATAATCTTGTTGCTCCGGCACTGCCAAATATTCAGTTGGTTTAACTCTCGAGTTTTCAGTGGCACCCCCTGGTCCCTACTAAGGACACTTATGACGTTAACGATGGTATCGATCGCAACACTCCGTTACACTGCATGATCGGATGAACCATCCGGCTATAGATTGCTACTAAATACAGTTGAACATTTGCGATTAAATCACCATACCTGTAGGAACAAAATAAGTTAGCTGCGGGGTCAGCTGTAGGAATATATCAGGTTGGCTTAACTTCTGTCGAATTTCCACAATCTCCAACTGACCTTTGGCATTCCTTTTCGTGTGCATGCCCATCCTGCATGACTTCTTTATTTTTCTGTTTGGGTTGAATGACTATCTTTGAGCCAAACAATCCCCTAAATGAATATTGTAAACCTTCAGTTATAATACCTCATCAATGCGCAGCTGTCATACCACTCAGAGAAACTACGAGACTGCCCATGTCTAGAAAGGAGCAGTCGAGATGCAGGGGTTAGATTTGAACCTCAAACCTTCCGGCCAGTATGTTCGCGTCTTTGATCACTGAGCTATCACGAGTGAGAACTCTATTGGGGCGGAAAAATCCAGTCTCCAACAGAAAGTGGTGGTGCCCCTCGACCACCTTCGTGCATGGTTGGCCATTCCAGTCACTGGAAACTCATTAAGCCATGATCATGGCATACCTCTTCTCGATATTGGATGCCCATTTTTTCTCTTTCATATTTCCAACGGGCATGGTCCTAGGTGTAGGCTGTTTAGTTGATTAGAAACGGTTCTCTGGTCATCTTCATGTATCCCAATTGAACTTGAGTGCTTCTTGTGGTGTAGTTTAAATGTTTCCCAACTCTGCTGCAGCCGTCATCAGGACAGGTCTTCAACTGTGTTTTCTGCTCCGTAGCTCGTTTAATACAGCTATCCCTACGGAAGACGAACCTCTGAAGAGTAAACCTTCCTGGAAGTGGACATATTTCTTAATTTTCCACCTGCACACTGTATGAAGCTCATGGGTGTTCTCCAGGGATGCATGATGTGAGACTAGCTGATTAGCATCAGGTTCCGTGTAGAGAACTATGGTTTCAACAATCTTATTGGTTCGTCTGGAACATCCTGTTTTGGAGACCGATACAAACGAGCCATAGGCGAACAGTTCTCAGGTCTTTTTGGATGTATGTGCCATCCGTTAAATTGATAGCTTAAACAAAGTTCAGCATAACCAACCGAACCCGTCACGCGGTAATTTCAAAATAACGGATAATTCTTAGAAGAGGAGAACGAATGCATGGATTAGGCTAGAGAACATTGCTGCACTCAGTCGACCTCGGTTGACAGACCACCACTTTAGTAGTTGATAGTGGTGGATCCCCATTGACACATGCTTGTATCGTTGTCAGCTATCTTAAGTACATCCTTTTATCAGCGTCGTTGAGTTCGAGGTAGCTAAGTGGTTAGGGTGCAGGGTTAAAGGGCGGAAGATTTGTGGTTCGAACCCGACCTCAGCATCTCGATTGCCCTCGTCTGGGTTAGGACAACATGACACTATCTCATTCGTCATGCTTCTTTCTGGGGACATATCAGCTAGGTACCGAATAAGAGTCGCAACTGGACTGTAATCAATGCCAAAACGTGGCAGATTTTCCTGGCGTGACCTACATTCCGGAATAAAGAATCAGGTCAGTAATCCGTAGCTATCCTGTCAGTTGATGCTCAACAGTCCGCAATATTTGTGATCAAGAAGTATTTTTCTCCTAATTCCAAACGGCAAATACGTATGGCACGTCTCGGTAACCAGAATGACTAGCAGGTGTTATTGATGGCTTACTTGCTTCCTTTACCTTTTACTTACTTTGTCTAGATGGATTAAGTGTTTAGAGCATGAATTTACTGACCGGAGTGTACGTGGATCGAACCCGACCTCTGCCATTCGACTTCCCTTGTCTAGGCTTGGGCAACCTGGCAGTATCCCAGCCCTCGTGCTTCCTTCGGATGGCGTGGCAGCTGGACACCGGAAGGGTATTGCACCTGAATTATTTTTTTTAGGTTACTTTGCCTACTTTACTTTTTAATCCCTTTACTTTCTTGCTTGGGCAACGAAGTCTAGGGTCGGTTGGTTCCTGATATCTCCTGGTATGGTAACGAAACGTTTGCAAGTTATTTGCTAAGCTCGGCAAACAGATAACACACAATAGGAGCAGGAATTGTTCGGAGGTAGAATTTTGATGGAAAAAGTCTCGAAAGCTGTCAAATCGTCATTGTGGTATTTATATTCGGGACATGATTAGGATTGGGTTGCTGATTATCGCTGGTTTACCTGACCTCATCTCACCATCTTTCGGGGGTGTAGCTCTGTTCACAACGTAGGTATCAACCTAAGTCGGGCTCTTTCTTCCATCACTTTCGTGCAAGGGTATTTTCCTGTCCCAAACGCGGTTTTCCCCCTCAAACGTCTCCCATGTATGTTGTGGTGTGCTGTCCTTCGATTGGTCTGCCTATTTTTGGAACCATTACAGTGCGACTCATGTTTTTTAGGCGATTTCCCTCTCAATGGACCTATTGTGGCGATCATTCAGTAGCCTGCAATAGGCTGGATTAAGCCAAAGCGCCGTACCTGTGCAATGCTCACCTGGCCCGTCCTAGGCACTTCTGTGTTAGTGTATGAATTCCGCACCTTCAGTAAGTTTCCCATGAGACTTGACGATCAGTTTGAGAGGCAACGCTATTTCGTGTTTGCCTATTTGACTTTTTTTTGCCAGTGGGGTGTTCAGTCTAATCTGAATTGATCATCGCTACTTCCTTGTGGCTGTTGGGACGATACTCTGTTTCCTTCGTCTAATTTTGCTTTTTCTAGTTCCTTCTAAATGTGAACTGCACGTCGCTTGAATTTTTGCAGACAAGTTACGTGGCCGAACCCATTGGGCAAATTAGTATGCAAACGAGTGCATTTCGGTCGTGAGTTGTCTAAGAGTTTTCAGCAACCTTGTGAGTAGTGCGTTGTGTCTAACTTCATTATCTTATCTAGTTCTGTCTGCCTGGCGACATTTCACAGGCTCTTCAACACACGGAGCTTTACTCGCACACGGGAACTTCTTCGGTGATGATTTAAATTCCTTAGCGTGATTACATTTCTGAGGTTAGCGACCACCGATGACTTCTCTCCAACGTCTGTCGGTGTTGTATTCCCAAAACCCTTGGAGATCGCTTACCCTATCGTTCCCTAGATATTTTCTTTTATGTCAAATGAAGGCCATCAGCCTCTGTTTTGGTCAGACTCAGTCGTTGGGCTGTGTCAACCTGCGAAGTCTTTGATTTGCCGCCCACCTTGATACAGTAAATAGTTGTTTTCTGTATACCTATATTCCGTCCTTCTCTAACAAGCAGTTATTCAGTGCTTGCTGACAGAAGGGCATTGCCTCTTGACTCAAGAACGCCTAATCCACAGGCACTGGTTAATTAATTTTTCATTGGTTTGATGGTCATGCTCGAGATAGCTCGGTGATTAACGCAAGAACCTGATGGTCGGAAGGTTCGTAGGGCGAACTCGCACCCGGCATCTCGGCTGCTTCTGTTTAGGCCTGTGCAACCTGACAGTATTTCAGCCCTTGTATCTCATTTATGTGGCATGGCGTCTTTGCGCTGTAAGGATGTTACAGTCAGCAAGAATACACAATTATTTTTAATAACTCAAGGTTTACGAGGACATTGTGACTTGCTGAACGGTAGTGCAACTCTGTATCGGTCCCTTGGCTTCCTGCTCCGCCCACTACGGTATATCAAAAGGCACGGTAGCTCTACACAGCCCTTTATGGAGACGAAAGGAGAATTATTACATCTGTGTTTATAGGGTAGTCACAGAGTGCTCCACAAGGTCGTGCCAGAATCTCCGTGAGGGGGCAAGAAGCGTCCAGTCAAGGATGCTGGACCCGGATTAGCTGGCATTCTGACCAATCAAGGCATGCCTTCGTTTAGTCTGTGTCCTGCACGTGACATCCGCCCAAATGATGTGATGTTTGGTCATTATGTGATGTTTGGTTATTAGGGACGGCTTGCCTCCGAACAGACTAATTTAATTTGTCATAAAAAATTGGACTCCACACATCCCTTGTGGATGTCAGGGGACACGGATATTTTGGGTGATCTCGTTTAGAAAAAGCTATTCCTTCTACTATGCAGGTAGGCCGTTAATCCGCGATCAGTGACTAAGCGAGCCCCGTACCGGTACTTCACCGGCACTTACTGATGTCATGTAGGAAAGCACATCCAGCCAACCGGTGCTATCTTAGTTGTCTTTCACTCTGCCTTCCTCTCGCGAAAGTATTGCAAAATTGTCGAGAAATACACTCATTTGCAAATCAGTTTGGTGAGTAGTCTCCTTTATGAAAATATGCTGCGATATCTCACATATTGTGCCAACTGAATCATGAGGCAGCCTGTGTGCAGCGCATTTAGTTGTAGAATATCATAAACGAAGAATTCAGTTGAGTCTCTCATGAAAACCAAATTGACTTGCTAATGAGTGTATTTCTCGAAAACGGTCCAATTTTAGTTCAAGTAGAACATAAGGTTGACGGAAACTCGGGGACTGCGCCTACCTGATGAGCCCCAAGAAGGGCGAAACCGGTCGTAGGCTATCGAAGAGTTTTCAGCAACCTTTGGGTAGTTCCCTCTATGAAAATATATTGCCAAGTTCGTTCAACAAATGGACTTTTCATTGAATGGCACAAAATCACAAGACCAAACTCAGTGAACACATGCAGCTGACCGATGGTTTGAGAGCTAGGCACGTACACAGTACATACCCAAGTGAGAAATGACCTTTTTGCCTTAATAACACCTCCCCGAGTTGCTCCATCCGGAAACTACATTATCCCAAGTGATCATTCATGTGTCAGTTATCATTGCAGGCGCGCCAGCAATTTTCGTCTTGTCTATAAGTGCAAAAAATCACGAATTATGTTATATACTATCAGTACTAACATTGGATTCTGAAAGCAAAGTAAATCAACTTAAAATGTGCTTAACTATTCATTTCACCACGTATGACCTAGTACATCTTGCATAAAATCGCCTGTATGTGGAATCGAGTTCAATCAATACACACACACACACACACCTCGAGCTGTGGTGTTCGATGACCTCAACTTTTGGCATCCACATTATCGTTCAGCTGCAACACCCTTTGAGTGCCTAGCTGCGGTGCCACCCGAAGGATGCTGGGATGCTGCCAGGTTGCCCAAGCCTAGACAGGAGAAGTTGAGATGCAGAGGCCGGGTTCGAACCACAGACCTAATTATTGAGCAATGGATTGCCGGCGTCAATTTCCCGCTGCGCATGCAACCCAGTAGAATTTATCGATCGTTCGGTTGACAGGTCTGGATCGGTTCCTTCAAATTTGGTCTGCACTCACTGCCAAGTCAGCATACCGTTTGTTTTGGTCTATGTGGTTTGTCAACAATAACGATCGCCCAGAACTAAGACCCTTTCGGTGCCTTGCTACTACGCCACCCGGAGGATCATTAAGGTATGAGAAATCGCATGTTGCCACAGCCCAAACAGGAGCAGTCGAGATCTCGGGGTTGGTTTGGAACTACGGACCCTCCGTTCAGTAAGGTTACGACTTAACGACGCAAAGGCAAGCTGCACAGGCTCTATTATGGGTCGCCCACCGACGTACCAACGCAGTCGCACCCTGGTTTACATCTGCTTGGCACACTCCGCAGCCCAGGGAGAACAACGCCGGTTTCTCCTCATAGAGTTGTGGCAGACACAAGTGTGTACGTCTCTGCACGTACAGTAGGCCAATAGGATGACCGGGAAGCGGCGCGAACTCCTCGGATTCTGTGGAGGCTTTCGGAGTGCAATGTCATGTGTGCGAGTCTTTGCAGTCTACGCAGCTATACGAAACTCGCTCAACAATGCTGGAACATAGTTGTCGGATTTCAATGGGAGAATGACACCAATAGCAATGGAAAGCAGTGGCGTGGGAACCGACGAGATCAGCGACTCTTCAGGCTTGGTTTCTGTGTCTTCACGCTTATGGAGACCGGTCGGTTGGCTGATAAAGTGATAAATGCGCCTCAAAGAGCGAGACAAAGTGTTTCGGGACCGAAATCATCACTATGCCTCAAGATAAAGATAAATAAAAGGACAATTGTTTAGCTGTAACACTCGGTGCCTAACTGCCATGCCATCCGAAAGAAGCACAAGGGCTGGAATACTGCCAGGTTGCCCAAGCCTGGATAGGGGAAGCTGAGAGACGGGGGTCAGGTTCGAACCACGGACGTTCCGATCAGTAAATTCGCGCTCTAACCACTGAGCCATCTCGCCCCTCACTGTGCCTTAAAAGTTCAATGAAAAGACAAACTTATTATTGCCTTATTTTGCTCGATTTCCGCGCAGTGGTTGTGATGACCACTCTCCAGATGAGTTTGGCTTTCTAAGGTTGTTGGGGCTAGATGGCCCAAGTGGTTAGAGCACGAATTTACCGGCCGAAAGTTCCGTGTTTCGAACCCGACCTCTGCCTCTCTACTCCCTCTGTCTAGGTTTGGGCAGCCTGGCAGTATCCCAGCCCTCGTGCAATCTTCGGGTGGCATGGCAGTTTCAACCGAAAGGGTACTACAGCTGGACGATTTCTAAGTAGTTTCAGTACATTGTTTTTTTTTCACATGGCCACAAATTCATGAGTTCAGGCTGTGTGGCACACAGTAAGTATTGTTACTGCAGTTTCTGATCATCAGATATCGGAGACATCTGGTACAGGTCTTGAGGTCTTACGGTGACGTAGAATGCATGTGATAGGATGACACGCTAGCCACGGCTTATGATCCAAGAAGTTATTCAGTAACGGTTGACCGAACAAGTGTGCTGTGCTGAACCGAGGACGTGCAGAGCGTAAAGGCAGTCAAACCCTGTGCCATCTTCGTGGATGCTGAAGGATAAATTTTGACGAAGAGTGTTGAAGATGCGGAGCACGCCTGAGGAGAAAACTATTCATTACCGACTGCAAATGTTTCAGGTTGCACGGATACCCACTATAGCTGACGTAAATAATGAATCTATGAACTTCCTTTCCACCTGGTTGTGTAGGTTGGCCATCAGGCACGAAACGCCGAGAGTTGCACCGTGGCTGCTATTCGCACCACCTACAGTTTGGATCACTCTTGCGACCGAATTTTCAAGTTTTGCCATCACTGTGGGCGATATTCACCGAATAAATACTAGACAAGGTTTTCTCAGGGTTGGTGATGCGTTTGTTTCTCAATCGCTGCTGAAGTTCTCGAGAAATACACTTATTTGCAAATCAATTTGGTTTTCACGGGAGACTCAACTGAATCTCTCGCTTATGATATTCTACAACTGAATGTGCTGCACACAGGCCGCCTCATGTTTCAGTTGGCACGATATTCGAGATATCGCAATATGTTTTCATGAAGGAAACTGCTCACAAGGTTACTGAAAACTCTTCGACAGCCCACGACCGGTTTCGCCCTTCTTGGGGCTCATTAGGTAGGCGCAGTCCCCGAGTTTCCGTCAACGTTATGTTCTGCTTGAACCCGAATTGAACTGTTTTCGAGAAATACACTCATTTGCAAATCAATTTGGTTTCCACGAGAGACTCAACTGAATCTCTCGCCTATGATATTCTACAACAAATGCCGGCATTTATTGTTTTAGTACTGATAACACACTGTACCAATGTCATGTAGTGGGAAACGTTCGATGCCTCGCATCTTTCACTTACTCTGTCAATGAAGTTCGGTTCATGCGTTTGATTTATCCTTCCAATGTTTGTCGTTTCCTTCACAGGATTTATCTTCGACCTGTTTCCCCATTTCCCGAATCCCCTTCTACCAACATCTCTTCCCTCCCGGTTGTTATTTCCATGACCAACAAATGTGCTTCCTCATCTTCAGTCCATTCGTCGTGTTCATCGACGGCCCTTTTCAACGGTGATTTAACCCCTAATCAGCCCACTCTCAATTCTCGAGCTGCTTCTGTGATGCATTCCTGTTCCTCAACTTTGCTCAACCGGATCTCCACCGACCCGAATAGTTACTGCGCCGTGGTAGCTGACGCGTGTCGGTTCAACCGCGGTCTTGGCAGAGGCCGTATCTCACGACTACCGTTTCTGGACTTGGCTACCCAGACTTCCCAACGCCCTGCTCCATGGCTCTATCGACCACTGTGCGAGCGATCTAGAAGTGAGCAGTTCATTAACCTCTCTCTGGATTCGTAACACTCCTCTACTGTGTAGACGTTCGCTTGGTAGCTTGTTCTCTGGCCACATTCACCAGGTCTGCAGCTTAACTTGTGTGAAAAGCCGATAAGCGCTGACGGATAGTGTACTAAAACACAAGTTCACCGCGTATATATGATCGTATCCTGAAGTACATTCACTTTCTTTGGTCGGGATGTTTTTCTGGAAGCTGTTTCCAACTCAGCAGTAGCAGGCAAAGGCTTTCAGTTCACTGGACACCAGAAAACTGAATTCACTAGCGATTGTTGTTGATAGCCGATTCGGTTTCTGTGTACCGGCCAAGTCAAATTACTTTAGATTTCTGTAAGTTCGCGTGAAGCGTTGGAATTTATCCGGTATGACCAGAACGGCATGAATGAAACCAATGGTGCACAAAGCCATAGCTATGTACGTTCTCTTTTTTTCCGCAGACGTATTGGAAAGTGGCACACACGTAGTTCTCCGTTATATGCGCCATCGATGGCGACTAGACTACCAAACGCCTTTGAGGAAACGAAAGTTGGCCGCGGATCGTCTTTGGTTTACCCTACGAACTGGGCTGACCGCTTTGGGGATTCCAGTCGAATTGAGTGAGTTTTCTAATCCCATTTGTTCATGGTCGTTCTCAGCTATTTGTTCCGGCACGGGTCACGTAACTGCATCTCTTGATGCCTGTTTCACTAGTCGTTCAGCTGTGGCACTCTTCCGGTGCCTAACTGCCGTGTCACACAAAGTATTCACCAGAGTTAAGATACTGCCAAACATAGACAGGGGGGGGGCGAGATGGCCCAAGTGGTTAGAGCGAGAATTTACTGACCGGAAGGTCCGTGGTTCGAACCCGACCCCCGCCACTCGACTTCCCTGTCTAGGCTCGATATCTGTAAAGCACCAATCATTGTTTGGTAACGGGGCAGCTGGACCGGCCACCTGGTCTTTCGAACTGCCTCAGATGAAAGTCGTGTTAGAAGTTGTGTACCAATAACAAATCGATTCTGAGCGATGACTACCAGCTGGTGGGCTCGTTTCCTACCAGCTGTTTGAACTCCCGCATTTTTTCCATGCCTTCCATATTTGGGCGCACTCAGCGAACGGTAGTCGGACCCACGTAGGAATTGTATAGCTTCTGGCGATCCGGAGCTGCACGTTTTATCCAACAGGAATTTGAAGGACTTTTAAAGTCGTGATCCAGGCCACTAAGCAGTTGTCTGTACGTACAGAGGATGGACGCAATTCAGTTGTGAACTGTGGCATTGGTTGATAATTCCTGGAAGATCTGGTCTTGGTTCACTGCTTCCAGCGTCTTTGGCAGCCGCAACACAACTACACATTGGTGGTTTCGTATTCGTTCCTTGAACTCAAGGGACTCGCTACCGAGTCCTGGAAAAGCCTTTTCGGCTGACTGGCGAAGTTTTCCCTCGTTGCATGCGGTCGTCGAATGTCCTTTGGTTATCACGCCAGTAGCGTCTAGTTTGTTTGGCTGAATGTCCTGAAAACTACCTAGCCAGAGGTTTCCCCCCAAATTTGAAAATCGTACACGCGGTTGTATGCTTCCGGCAGATGGTGTTTTGGAAATTTTCCAAGATACCGTCTGCTCTGTCCTTTCTGTTAGCGGAATTTGTCCTCCAGATAAAACGGATAGAGTTGGAATCAGCATCTTGCCGTCCGCGAGGCGCACCGTAAGATGAGTGCACACAAATTCTTCCGCTCCGTGAGCGAAAAATCGTTCAGCTGTAACACCCTTCCGGTGCCCAACTGCCATGCCACCCGCGGGCCAAGATACTGCCAGGTTGCCCAGTCTTAGGCAGGGAAGTCAAGAGGCAAAGACCGGGTTCAATCCACGGACCTTCCGGTCAGTAAATTCGCGCTCTAACCACTTGAGCCATTCGTGAGAACGTGGGGGCGAGATGGCTCAAGTGGTTAGAGCTCGAAGTTACTGACCGGGAGGTCCGTGGTTCGAAGCCGACCTCTGCCTCTCGACTTCCCCTGTCTAGTCTTGGGCAACCTGACAGTATTCCAGCCCTCGTACTTCCTTTGGGTGGCATGGCAGATTCTCAATGTTTACTTTTTTGTTCGCTTTCGATATCTTGGGGTTTTACGTATTTACCGTGAAATCAATCACCCAGTTGACAACGCCGACTTCGCAACTGCTTTTTTGCGTTTTTTTCGAAATCTCGTCCATTTTGGTTTGACCACCAGTGTGTTTTCGAAACTAATGGTAACAACAGTGAACGGCTTCTTGTGGCCGCTGTCCAGTCGTCGGGGTCTTGGTTTTTTGGTTACGACGTGGTGCGCCGAACTTGCTTGCATATGTAAGCTCCAGCTCGTCTCGTTATTTATCTCGTGGTGTCACAGCCTGGTCTGTAGCAGTTCATTCGGATTACGTTGACATACTTGCCGACAAGCGGGCCGATTCTGTCCACTCGTGTACTTTACACGCACCTGACAGTCAGATGATACGTGAAGTATGAGGTAGCAGCCACATTTTTAATTCTTTGGTAGACAAAGTGACGATTCAATCTGGCTTATTCTCGTCGTATTTTCTGCTTGGATGTGAAAACTCTTTGCTTCGATTCCCTTATGAAAAGAAACTGAAGAAACGTCTCAACTTGAAATAGTTCTACGGTCAAGGTTATTGGCTCGAATTTCCGTGGTTCGAACTCAATCGCGACTTGGCTTGGATAACCTGGCAGGATCTTGGTGTGGCATGACATTTTGGCACACCGCAAAGGCGTTAATGCTAGACGGGGGCTGATGAGAGCGTGGATTCACTGACCGGAATGTCGAAAGCGACCTCTGCCTGTCGGTTTCCCCTGTTTAGGCTTGGGCAACTTGGCATTATCGCAGCCCTGGCGGTTTGGCACCGAAAGAGTGCTACGATTTTTTCTCATTTAGAAAGTATGGCTTCCCATCTCAGGTTTGGGGAACAACAGGTCTTTTTTTAAACAAATTGGTAGAGTGAGAAGCAGTTGTCATTTTTCGCGAAATGCCCTTCCAACTTGGTTTTTACGGGGTACTCCGCTTAATCTTTCATTCATTTTCTTTAACCGACGGTGCTATGCGAAGAACGCTTTTTGGCGCGATCTTCGACATATGAAATAGATTCAGTTGAGTCTTCCGTATGGTCTAATTGGTGAATTGTTGAATGAGTGTACTTTTCGAATTTCCTACAATCCGGGTTAAGTTAGAACATGGAAACTCGGGGACTGCGTCACCCGATATACCCCAAAAAGTGCTAAACAGGTGCTAGGCTGTCGAAATTTTGTTTCTTTCTCAGCTAATCTCTCTGTTTTGTTCATCTTCAAGTTCCTCTGGTTACCAAACGAGCTTATGCAATAGCCGGTCTCCCAATACCGCCGGGCCTCGCCCCCCATCTTGAAGCAATGATTGCAAAAATCAATCCGACTAGTTCTCAACTCTCTCTCTTTTTGTTCATCTTCAAGTTCCTCTGGTTACCAAACGAGCTTATGCAATAGCCGGTCTCCCAATACCGCCGGGCCTCGCCCCCCATCTTGAAGCAATGATTGCAAAAATCAATCCGACTAGTTCTCAACCAAATGGGACCGGAGCTTACTCCTCGTCCGCTCGCACCCATCCATCCTCACTTGGTCTGAGTACGAAGAAGCATTCAAATTCCGATCTCGTCAACGATTCAGCCAGTCGGAAAGCACCTTTAAATGGTCGGGAAGAGGAATTGTCAACAGTAGTGGATGATACTCTTGTGGATTCAGCAGATATTGTGATCAAACAGCCTTGTGTGAGCATGACTCGATGTCGTTTGTTTGATGCTGGAGGGACCCCATTGGCCACTGGGGAGGACAGTGCATTGTCCGCAGATAATGCTGGATTGAAACGAGCTTCCAGTGGGGTCAGTGAAGATGGTGGAGTGTGTTGTGACACGAAGACAGATGATGAAATGTCCGTACAGTCGGGTAATGGGACCAAACTGGGCTCGAATTCAGACGGCCTGTATGCGCGAGCCAAATACGAGGCTACGGTGTACGAGGTGGAAGACGAATCACCCGAGCAAGATGACGAGGAGGAGGAGGAGGATGAAGAGTTGGATGATGATGTTGAATGGATTCAGTCTCGTGGGCGGCGGTCTTACCACGCATTAGCCGGTGGACGTGCATTCGGATCCGCCAAACGACGAAGGCGTTCTTTGGCCAGACGCAAGGGGAGTCGGTTCGCTGTTGTAGGCACGCGACTTTCAACCCGTCGAATAGCTGCTGGTTCGTTCGCGCAAACTCAGCGATCTCCCGGTGGCAGACAAAAGGTAAACGATTTCTCGTGATTAACTTGTGTATATCTTGTTTTCAGCGTACTCAAGTTGGATTTTATCCGACTGCAGTTCTATGCGACTAAAGTTTTGAATGCTTTGGTGAATTTCTTCTGAGACATTGAGGTTTTTGTCTCTGTCCTTTCTTTGCAAATTACTGTTGTAAGTTATCACAGATGTATGGTGTTTTCTGAAAAAGAGAAACTCGTTTCGCTACAGCTTGTCCGGTGGAGGTATCGGGTTTTCTCACCTTGCCTTTTGGTTCAGATCTCACTTATAACTTTGAATCTTCACCTCCGTTGAACTCACTCTCATCGGCATTGTATTCACTGATTGCGGTGGTTCCTAGAAGATACCCATCAGTATTTTCCTGAAGGAAACTGCTCACAAGGTTACTGAAAACTCTTCGACAGCTCACTACCGGTTTCGCCCTTCTTGGGGCTCATTAGGTAGGCGCAGTCCCCGAGTTTCTGTCAACGTTATGGTCTACTTGAACCCGAATTGGACTGTTTTCGAGAAATATACTCATTTGCAAATCAATTTCGTTTTTACGAGAGACTCAACTGAATTTCTCGTTTATGATATTCTACAACTCAATGTGCCGCACACAGGCCGCCTCATGTTTTAGTTTAGTTGGCGGCTGCCGAAGAGTTTCCAGCAACCATGTGAAAAGTTTCCTTTATGAAGATATACTGCGATATCTCGAGTATCGTGCCAACCGAATCATGAGGTGACCTATGTGCAGCACATTCAGTAGGAGGACATCATAAACGAGAGATCCACTTAAGTCTCCCGTGAAAACCAAATTGATTTGCTAATGAGTGTATTTCTCGATACCCATCAGTACTTTTTTCGTCAGGTGGAATCCTGTCCTTGACACTTCCCTGGTCATTTTATTTCCTTGAAAGCGTTGATGTGATATACCCGACCCCGTAGTGAGTTCTTTGTGTTGAAGATTCCAGAGGAACGCCATTCCATGCTGAAAAGCCGCTACTTCTAACGCATTAGGGATCTTCACCAATGCGCACCTCGCAAAACTACGCTGATCATCAGTGTGCTGAACTCAAACTTTGACTGGGTGGAGTGCCGCTCATACTTCGATTCCAACAAACGACATCACGTGCTCGAACAACGACTCGTCAAGTGGAAGTATCATTCTTCCTGTATAATCTTAACATGAAACTCTATTTCATCCTAAGTAAACATTTTGGGATCCTGTGCCTTGATTTACTTTGGTCTACGCGGAATTTCTGGCAAGCGCGGTTGCCTAAGCACACATTTTTCCATGTGGATTAGAACGTCCAATACGTTTTGGGTGATGAAGGCCAGTAGACATTTTTCGGCCTTGTGGAACAACGAAGAACACAGTTCATTCCACCGGTGCCGAGATGGACCAAGTGGTTAGAGCGCGAATCTACTGACCGGAAGGTCCGTGGTTCGAACCGAACCTCTGCCTCTCGACTTCCCCTGTCTAGCTTTGGGCAACCCGGCAGTATCCCAGCCCCCGTGCCTCATTCGTTTGGCATGCCAGCTGGGCACCGAAAGGGTGCTACAGCTGAACGACTTCACTCCACCTTCAGGCATCGGAGATAAACACCGCCAAGACAAACAGACAACCAATCACTGTTCCCAAACATCACAAGCGATGTCTATCATCCTTAGGATTTGTGGCAACTTCGCTAGGGTGCTTATTCCATCTTTTAACGATCGACGGACGCAAGTTATTCCCAACAGATGCGCGTGCACCGAAACAAATCATAGTTAGATTCTTCGGACACCGCCCAGCCGGAATCTGTGCTTTTGAGTTCAGTGGTGCCAAGCGTCTTGAGGCTGGGTCGCGTGTTTATGTCATAGGAGACTGTCGGGGAAATCTAACCAGTTTCGTTAGTTGGAGGATAGATTCAATCTTAGGCTGTTTCTCTACGGCATCGGTTCTATTTGACTCTAAAATTGTTCACTTATGTCAATGTACATGGGTCACCAGGTGACAAAATAGCATAAAATTGAACAGATGTCACTTTGATAAATCAGTCGCGCTATACTAACCATACATATACTTAATTCTTTACTTCGTTCTGAACGAATAATATATATACTCGTCTGTTCGTCCTTTCAGCGTCTAACGGATCGATCGGTGGTCAGAACAGACTCCGCTATCCATCAGATTTCATCTTCACGTGCGACTTTATCGGTGCGTGGTAAATCTACAGCCAACTCGTCTGGTCCGAACAGAGAATCTGAATCTATGCGTGATGGTAAATATGACGTTGATGAATTCGTCTCGTTCTATATGTTTACATTCACACCAGTACTAACCGAGAAATGTGATGTGCGTGGCCCTAAATTCGGTGGGGTGTCGGAATTTCCAGCAGTATGGAGAAACCGATCGCCAGCTCAGCTGTAGCTTACCAGCCTTGGCATCTCTCGGCTAAATGAACACCAGTTTTCTGTTCACTTGAATGTGAGAACTTGGCGGGGTAACCTAGCGCCCTGGGATTTCACACAAACACAGGTCCTGTCAAGTTCTGGGTTCGACAGACCCATGTCGCCAATGACTTTCCACTTTATTAGAGTTCCCTTGTCCTGCGCAAGTTCAAGTCACACAACCTAGTGCAATCGTCTGTGGAACCTCTCTCCAGTGTCACCCCGCGGCGCTCATCATTCTAGTGCGGGTCACAGATATTCTATGGAATTCACGTTCTGGTGCAGTTACTCTGGTGAATCCACACCAGGAGGGAGTACTGGCCTTGAGTTTCGCTCTTTAATAAGAGCTCGTTAAAAGTGCATGTCATCAGGTGTTTCGGGGTGTAGTAACGGTATTTTCCTCGGCTTAGTTCTCGGTCTGAGTCTGCCAAGCTAGCGTTCACGTCAAAACAAACACCAAAGGTGCAAAAGGTCTATTAACGCCCAAAACGAAATCAGGAACAGTTGTACAGCGCTTCGTATATATAGCGTAAGCGGCTATAACTTTCTGGAATTTCTGACGCGTTCTGGAGCTCCATTGGCAACCGGCATTCGGCCAATACTGGGTCATGATTGGCTGTTGGGTCCAGATTGTTGACCAATCAGATCTCGTCTTGATGCCGGACCGGCAAGCGTCCCGAATTTTGGGCCAACCTCGAGCGGGCCAGGCTTCTCGGCCGTAGCAGCGCCTAAAGACGTGCGGTATAGTGGGATCCGCGTGGATTCCTGCCTAACACGGGGGTTTGAACTTCTGACATGCGAGGCGAGCATGTTACTACCACTACTCCACCAGTGCATACTGGACTCATCCGGTTTTTTACGTCTGAATAGGTGAACGTGTCCACCCAGTAACTCTTCATTAGAATAATTGCACCAGGACAAGATGACTGCTCAAATGAGAGTGATATGAACGTAAGTTTTACAAATCTGATGAATCTCGCAGCACAGTGTAGATAGTATTGTTCCTGGAGTATTTAACTTATTATTTTTATTATTATTATTTTCCGCAGTGCAGCTCATTTTCTAAGCCGACAAATCGTTCGTTTCTTTCATTCACTGTCTGCCGATAATTGTGACCCCTCAACGGAGTATTTTCTTTCAACTCGAAAATTTGGAACTCTTCCCCCTTCAGATCACTGGGAAGAGTTTGCTGAGCCCGGATTTCAGCCCAATGCGAACTTTTGTTCTCTTCCACTCAAGACATCTGACGACCCGGCTGGATCAAGCCTCCTGGAACATACTCTGGGACACTGCGTCCCGTATACCTCCCCGTCATTGTCTGCGACACTGCTCAATTCCACCAGTGAGAACGTCAACTTACGACGGGATACTGCCGGTATGAGTTCCCGGAATAGTCCAACCACAGATATTAGAAGGCCAGTACAAAGTGCACCCTCCATTTCGCGCTCCGGCATATCAGCTGCAGTTTCAACCGCCGGTCCGGCTCTCTCTCCTCGCATCACAATGTCTCAGCTTCTGTGTTCGGCGAGCAGTACTTCAACTACTAACAATTTTGTAACAGGCAATTGTGGACTACAGTCTAGTCCGTCCACACCGTATGACTACCCTGCAACCAGTTTGTCGGAACGTGACGGAATATGTTTCAAAGATCCATATTCTCGTCCTGGTCAGCCGCAACCGCCACCTACAAGCACTGCTCAAGCAATGAAACCACTACCTGTGAAAGATTATCCCGCCCCTGTCGCCATGGCAGGCTCTCCGATTCCTCGTAGTGCAGAGTTTCAGCCACCGTGTGTCGCCGCAAATGCTTCCGCGTCCTCAACTAACCCCAATCGGACTTCTCCGGGTGTGCTTCAACTAACCCCAATCGGACTTCTCCGGGTGGTGCTTCCGCGAGCACAGACTCATTCGCCACCCCGGCGGGCGCAACTACAACAGTGACGTTCTTCGTATGTGAGGTTTGTGCTTCACGTTATCGATCCACGGCTGGACTACGCTATCACTATCACAGTCAGCATTCAGGTTATACACCCAAAAACCCGATTTCCGCGTCAGCTTCGCGACTTGTGGTTCCGGTTGGTGAAGAACGTGGGATTGGTGGTGGGCTTCGCGGTGGTCGGCCTAGACGGCATAAAGGTAAGTTTTATTTTTGGTTACACGCCTAATCGCTTCCTGTAGACCTTTATAACTTCACGTAAATTGCGATTTTACGCTACCTCCATTAATATCCTCCAGAAACAGGTTCCCGTCATACTGGTCACCACATAATTAAGCACAGGGCCCTAGCTGAAATCGGAAATCATTCAACCGTAACACCATTTCGGCACCTAACCACCATACCGCCCAAAGGAAGCATGAGGGCTGGGATACTGTCAGACTGCTTAAGCCTAGACGGGGTCCGAATCACGAACCTTCTGGTCAGTAAATTCGTGCTCTAACCACAGTCGTGAATGTACATGTGTTGGTTATAGGAAACCGGTTTACTCCGGGCATTCTGGCATTAAATGCATTCAGTTCCGTTTTTCAGATCACAGACCGTGCATCAGAGTGCAATGGTTCCAGCCTCGTTCACCAAGGGGAACAGAGCATAAGGGAATGAGATTCACACATTGGCGTTTTTTTTGGTATTAGCCCCTACGCTTCGTGTTTCTATCCTGTCCTATACTTTCCGGAAGCGAGTTTGCGGAATTGTAACAAGGTTGACGGAAACCCGGGGACTGCGCCTACCTGATGAGCCCCAAGAAAGGCGAAACCGGTCGTGGGCTGTCGAATTTTCAGCAACCTTATGAGTAGTACATTACAAACAAATGGATTTCTGTTAGAAACCAGTTGCCATGACGGCAACGAAAATAGCAAGCAAGCAATCCATCTGGCATAACACCTTTTTTCAATTTCCCCGATACAATGACCTCACCGGAGTTTTTTTCGGGACCTTTCTGAAAATTGAACAGGAGCTCAACCGTCTTCTAACTCCGATCCATTTAATATGCTCCTGTTGTTCCACCGATATAGGTTCAGCTCTGGACGGTAGAGGACGCGGGAGACTCAAGGAGTCCAATGACACGAAAGCTCCGAATCGTGCAAACGTATCCGGTTCTGGCAGTGGTATCCCTTGTATGGAAGAGACCGACGGCTTTCGCTCTGCCGTAGCTGCTCACGGTAAGTAACTGTACGGTTAATTTCAATCGTTAATCTTTCTGTGAACCTTTGTTGTTATCTGTTTTTTTTTCAAAGCTCGTAATACTACTGCGTCTTGTAGCGTTTGTATATCGCTTCTCCGCGTTAGACAAAGCAACAACGGTGGGAGCCTGCTGAGCATTTGCTGGAAAGTTTCAGAACTAGGGAGTAGTCTCATTTCACTAGTTTCCTATGTCTTCAACCAGGAGCCTATGTTTTGTTCACGTGGATAACCTCTGAGTTTTTTCAAAAATTTTCTCCAGACCCATTATCTGGCCCGGAAAGGCATACCTCACCCCGTTCGGACCCGTTCACGCCATCTTTCTCGGGACATTACATGTCATCTGGCCAAAGCACCGGTTCCAGCAACGCTACCGTCGGAATGACATCAAACAGAACGTCGGAAGTGACTAACCCTGGGGGCGTGCATTCATCTATGCGTCCTTTTGCCCGTTCCAGTTGGGTGGATTTCTATCCAAACAGATCGTTGGACGATAAGAACGAATCGAAATTCGGCCCTTCAATCAGTGGATTACTCGCTAGCCCTGGAGGTCAGCCAGTGACCTCTTCGGACAATGACATTGTCGAGTTGACACAAGGTCCCAGTAGCACATCTCATCAACGCGCAAACACGTTACAGTCTTTGGCGGCAATGGAGAACAACGTTGCAGCCAGTTTATCCTACCACCCGCGGTCACAATCGTATCCACAATCATCCGTTCCTATTTCATCTTCTGCCAATTCCTACGCACCGTCCTTGAGCTGGGCGTCATCACAGGATCCCTACACAAACGTTGCTGCTGTACCGTCAGACCAACCGTTTACCGCGTTCCATTCAAGTCCAGCGCAACGCCGTTTTGAACGCCAACGTTGCCCGGATAGGTTGAGTTTGAACCCTCCACCGAACGCCTCATGCGTACCGACTTGTGTCTATTGTCTTGGAGATGATCGACTCAATCCTCGCCTTGGACGTTCGGAAGGCTTGTTGAGATGCTATCGTTGTGGTACCTGGGGACATTTCAGTTGTCTTCAATTGCCCTCGCATGTGATCGATATGGCAATGCGATATCCATGGCAATGCATTGAATGCAAAACCTGCTGGGTTTGTGGTTCCGCGGAACAAGAGGTGGGTCCAACCGTGCGGATATGCTGTTGATACCACCCATTTTCTACAATTTCAGTGTAGCCTGCTAAAACATGTGTTTGTTGTATTGTTGGTCAATCGAAGCAGCCCTGATGGAAACAAGGAGACATTCGGGGCCTTACCAAACTTCGATTTCTAACACGAGGTTATTATCTTTGTCAAGAGGTATCGTGTTGACTGGCTTCTCGAGCAACGACTTCCCACATAAAAGTTTCACTCATCGGGTGAAGTTTATTCTTCCACTGAGCTACTTACATATTGCTGGTAGTGTGAGGAGATGAGGGATTTTTGTGGGATTTCGTCCTGTAAGTGAAGCCAATCTATGCTAAAAAGCCGAGAAGTACTGTACAGCTGTTTCATCCTTATTGGGAATCTTGGGGTTTTGCGGGATACGTATTTCATTCATAGCCACACCACTCTCGTTTGAACGGCCGTGTTCCTGTTCTGGCGTAATTATTCCGGTGAGTCCACACCAAAGTGGAGCACTGGACTCGAGTTTCGCACTTATTAGAGCTCATCAGCAGTGCATATCCAATGGCCGTGCCGGGATTTGAACCCCGGACATCTGACATGCGAGGCGAGGGCGTAACCACTACTTCACCAACGCACGTTGGACGCATCTGAATTATCACGTCTGAACAGGCGAACGCGTTCACACTTGAGCCTTGTGATTGGTGTGGTTGGGAATCATCAGTGCGCATCTCACGAAACCCCGAAGAGTCTCGGACCCGCTACCTTATGATTAGTGGTTTGAACACAACCCTTCAGCCACGAGCAGCTGGCCAGCGCGTGTGACCGCGTGTGGTGGATCCCGTGATCGAAGAATGAGCGGCGTTATATCTTGTCCAAGTGCGAGTTAATCACACTGCTGATCAGCCACTGGTGACCGAACGGTTAAGTGATCAGACTACTTGCCGAGAGGTCGCGGGTTCGAAGCTCTTCGGAGTTTCGTGAGATGCGCGCTGCTGATGGTTCCCAATGAGGATGAAACAGCTGTATAGTGCTTCTTGGCTTTCAAGAATTGATTGGCTTCAATTACAGGTTGAAATCTCCACAAATCATCCTTGAGATCATGGTGTGAAATCCGTACTCTCATTTGATACGTGTATTAGGATTGCACAATTCCGACCCTGTCGCGGGACGTTAAATCTTTAAACCATCGTGAACACAATGACAGAGAATGGAGCAGAGCAAGTTGTAGACTTCGTAAGGAAACGCCACATTCGAGAAATACACTTATCTGCAAATCACTATGGTTTTCACGAGAGGCTCAACTGAATCTCTCGTTTATGATATTCTACAACTGAAAGTGCTGCACACAGGCCGTCTCATGTTTCAGTTGGCACGACATTCGAGATGTCGCAGTATGTTTTCATAGAGGAAACTACTCACAAGGTTGCTGAAAACTCTCCGACAGCCCACAACCGGGTGAGGGAAACTCGGGACTGCGCCTACCCGGTCGTAGGCTTTCGAAGAGTTTTCAGCTACCTTGTGAGTAGTTTCCCTTATAGAAACGCCACACTGTTTGGTAGTCAAAATCGCTCTCCTTTGAACATCGGACACACAAAAACATACAAAAACTGGGCCTCTTTTGCAGGGAATTCCTTTACTTAATTTATCCAGTGAAGCAGGGATTATTGTTCTCTGCGATTCTACTTCTTTTAGGGAATACTCGTTCTACAGACGATTCATAAAGTTGCTAAAAACTCTTCCTCAGCTCACGACTGGTTTCACTCTTCTTGGAGCTTGTCAGGCTGGTGCAATCGTCGAGCTCCCCTCAAGATTATGTTCTACTTGAACCCAAATTGCACGGAATCAGCGTAACACGCTCGTTTGCATAGCAATTTGGTTCTCAGGGAAGACCCCACGCAGCCGTGAACGAAAGATTCAGTTGAGTTTACTGTGGAAACCAAATTGATACGCAAATGAGCGTATTTCGCTAATAATCTCTATGCATCTGTTTCGTTCGGTTTGCTTCGGCACGCTAAATAAGCTCGTCATCCGCCTTTCTCAACGCATTCTAAGATGCTTCTATTTTCAATCAATTGGAAAATGTTCAAAACCGATTGAGAAGTCATCGTTTCAGAAGAACTTGATAAACGATCGATAGTCTTTTTGATTTGGGCAACGTTTCGCTTTTGATACAAAGGTTTCATCAGGCCAAGTGAACAGGTCACCGAATTGGCCAGGTTATAAGACAGACGGGGAGCCAATCAGTAAATCCTCTTCACACCAGGTCAGTGTTGAGTGTCAATTAACTGCTCTTGTCGGTTCGGTTAGTTTGTTGTCAAAATCTTGCTTTGGTGGATTGGGGTAGTTTCAAATTAAATCTGATCGGGTTTGGTTCGTTGATGTTCCACTTCAGGGTGCTTCAATTGATGATTCACCTCGGTTGCCACTGGTAGATATTCCTTGGTCTTTGTGGGGTTGTGAGTGTTCCGGAAATTTGTTTGGAGGGTCCAGTGGAGTTCAAATGATGACTACTCTTCCTTCTGATGACCGCGCACCATTTTAATCGTCTACGTTGTTTCCGGAGGTGCGATTATTTGTCGCCCTATCTTCCAAAAGTAAACGAGCTACTGACATTTTGGAAGTAGACTGATAAAATAATTTTTTACTATACGGTTGTTTACAATAGTATCAACAATGTATTATGGTATATTAAACATGTAGTTGTGAGTTTCGTATGGTTCAGCCTAGTCTGCTTGTATTATCAGCATTTTTCGTTGAAGGAATAGCTCGCGTTGGGTAGATAACCAAAGGTCGGTATCAGCTTTCTGTTTTTCTCATCGCACGATATGCGATCGATTCCGGTCCACAATTTGAAATTGAGTTGGATATCCCTATCCAAATTGGAACACTGTCCAAAAATATAACAGTTGCGACTCGCTTACTTCCAATGTAGTCAAATCTGAGATGTTTTCATTTCTGATCGATCAATTATTGTAAGGTTGGATGTATGCGGTTCCCGTTAGAGAAGCTGCTCTCAGCACTGCTCAACCCTCTTCTCTCACTGTTTTATAACCACAGCCTCGAATGGCGTTTTGTGGAGATTGTGATCGAACCTTCCACATTGACTGCCTCCCTAATCCACTGCCGCGTGTCCCGACAACGCATTGGACTTGTTATATCTGCGTGCATGGATTGTACGCAATGCCCCCGACTAGCACGATAATCGAGCCGCAGTACTGAACACCCATCGGCGATATCCGTCAATGCCACAGACAGGCAGACAGATCTCTTTGACGCGCGTTTCCCATCGCATTTCCAATCTTCTTGCTGTTGTGCTGTGCATCGCGTCGTGACTGTTTCACAGAGAAGCTATATCCAACCTCCCGCCTCGTTTTTTCTCTCCCCCCTCATTTTCTTTTCTTCAGATTCCGCGTATGCAGACAGCTGTTCTAGAAAAAAAGTTCGCCATTGTCTTCTTTCGATGGTGTTCCTTGTTTTGTATTTTTCGCTCCGGTCATTTCATGATGTTGCATTACCTCATGGTCGCCCTTTCACATTCATCACCGCAGACAGCTGTTTTGCTTTTTAGCTTCCGTATTTAGCCTTTTTTTATTATCTTGCATTGTGTTCACAATCCTCCACACCTGACAATCATCAGCGCTGATCGTTTCTATTCGGACTGACTTGTGTTTTTTTTGTTTGCCTTGTGTTATTTAAAAGCGAGTTGTTGACGGAGAAGTTCGTCTCACTGCTGTTGTTTTTTTTCGGTCTGCGAATATCATTTGTTTTGATCCTGACCTGCTTGCTTTGTCCTCGGTTTCCTTACCATACCACGTACAGTACGTACTATTACTATTATTATTATACTTCTTATTATCGATATTATCGTTTCCCTCATTTTTATTCCCGATTTCGTCTTTTCCTCCCCAGTGTATTTCCCTCATATGCAATCACGTGAATGAAGTTTGCAGAGAAAGCACCAAGTGAATTACGATGCCAAATCTTCCAGAGTCTTCTGATTGGTGTCGATATTTAGTCTGCGCACCGTATTGAGCCCCCGCCCGTGTTTTCGGTGAAAAACTACCGACTACTGCCTGTAATCAGAGCGACCATCTAGGTAGGCTTCCTATCATGATCAACCCAGGGTGTCGAAATGTTGTCTTGCTGAACGTTGGTGCAATTCTGTATCGGTCCCTTAGCTTCCTGCTCTGCCCACTATGGTATATCAAAACGCACGGTCACTCTACACAGCCCTTTATGGAGACAGGAAAATTATTACAACTGTGTTTATAGGGTATTCACAGAGTGCTCCACAAGGTCTTGCCAGGATCTCCGTGAGGGGGCGAGAAGCGTCGAGTCAGAGGTGCTCGATCCGGATTGGCTGGCATTCTGACCAATCGGGGCCTGCCTTCGTTTGGTCTGTGTCCTGTATGTGACACGTCCGCCCAAATGACGTGATGTTCGCTTATGAGGGACGGCTGGCCTCCGGACATGAAGGGACCCAATGGGCGAGAGATGGCTGAAGTGGTTAGAGCGCGAATTTACTGACCGGAAGGTCCGTGGTTCGAACCTGACCTGTGCTTCTCGACTTCCTGTGTTTAGGCTTGGGCAGTATCGCAGCCCTCGTGCTTCGTTCAGGTAGCATGGTAGCTGGGCGCCGGAGGGGTGTTACAGCTGTACGATTGTTTTTCTCAAGGTATTGCATTAACTGGTCGGATTCTGTGACCTATGGTTACAACTCAGTAGCGGTGCTCGGAGTGTCCTGCTTCTGCATTCCTCTTGCTTCATGTCGGTTGCCTCAATGTTGATTTTTTTCTTTCACACAAGAGTCCCATCGCGTGGTCAAATCGTTTGGTGCCTCGCATAGTTTATTTTGCAGTACTGTTTGGACGCATCCCCAAATTTTACGGGTCGGTTCCTTGAGAAATCCAGTCCAAGATAAATTAATGACATCAGCCCAACCGATGCTATCGCGTGTCCTGCTGCTCACCTAATTTATGGGAGCTTATCGAAAGCTTACTGTCGGTCTTTCTTGCTGTTTTAAAACCGATCAGTGCAAAGGCCGCACTGATTTCTAAGTTGCCTCCTCATGTATCAAGTCCTACTTATAACTTCATTCCGTTCCGTATGACTGGAAGTAACGCCTAATCACTGAACACCTAATCATCGGTAGACGGGTAACATCATACAAAATGAGTCTCAACACACCGCTGAGTCTTGTGATGAGTTTACTGCATTTCGGATGTCAGTCGGTTTAAGCTGAGGATGAGACACCACTGGTGGTTCACATCTTATAGTTACCGATCGGCCGCACCAAGTTTCATGTTAGCCAGTGGAGTTCGGCGAGACCTCAGTTCGAAGCTACCGTAATAAGTCAGATAACACCCGTCTTACTTATCAGACGTCCAGCCGGTTTTGTGTGCGATTCCTATCCCTATTCTACTGCGTCAGCTGAGCAGAGGCTGATTATAGAGTTCAGTTCCGTCGCTACGACGCTCGATTCCCTGGAATCGTTTTGTCCATTAGAGTCGACGGTTGTTCCAACATGGAAACAGCTAGGCTTAACCGAAGACCTACTGTTTAGGTTCCCGATACGGAACCTTGAGCGACGCGTAGGTTCGACAATTCCGAATATCAAAAGGAAGAATTGGGTTCGTAACTCTACGGTACTATTCACACAAGGATAAGCAAATGCGTACAATAAACCTCAGTTGTTCGCGTTCGTGGCGTCAAATTCACGGGTCTGTCACTGACCGGCACAATGCAGTGTCAACGTCCGCACACCAAACATCGAGCGGGATGATGGCTCGGTAGCATGGGTTGCGGTCGTCCCTTTCGACTACGGTCTCGTGATTCTCACTAGATATGCGATCACACGGAACCTATGAGAAAACAAGTCAAGGCAGGCTCAGCAAACGAGACATGAACGCCCCTGGGTAAGTGGGTCAGCAGCGCACAGACACATGTCAATATACAAGTGTCGGAAAGGATGGCCTCTGCGGCAAGGTGAGTGGCCGGTACGACTAAGCCAAACAGCTGGAGATCAAAAGTACACAAGCGGAGCAAGCAAATGAATGGGGGAATTATCATAAGGTCAAGCTAGATTCAACCTCTACTCATCATCATCGACAGCGTGACATCAGTGTTTAGCAACGATTCTCCAATGCCGTGCAACCATGATTTATTTGAAAGCTTTATTGTGAATAAAAAATAAAGGTGGACGCGGAAGGGACTTAGTGCTAGCTTACTACGATCAGTCTGAGGTGCCCACACCTCCAGACACTCATTCAGGCAATCTGCATAAAAACTAACATCGGTTGGCAGCCCTATCTTGCAGTGTCTCTAAGCAGCCGCAGTGGGGATCACGCCGTCCCCATCCTGGAAGGCACATTACTCACAAGGTTGCTGAAAATTCGACAGCCAACGACCGGTTTCGCCCTTCTTGGGACTCATCAGGCAGGCGCCGTCTCTGAGTTTGCGTCAACATTTTGTTCTGCTTGAACCCAAATTGCACACATCATAAACGAGCGATTAGGCTGGGTTCCAGGTGAGTCTCCCGAAGAACCAAATATGTTTGCAAATGAGTGTTTTTCGCTAGAATTCGTCTTGTTACGGGATAATAAATTCGTTGGGTGGAATGCTCATCTTAGCGGTGTTACCTACTCCGGATAAGACCTTGTCAGGTTTGAGCGATGAAGCTGATACTACGGCTGGTCGGATGAAAATGTAGTGGGGAACTTGTTCCACTGCGGGTGTGCTCGTGACAACTTAGGGTGCTGCATCCAACGAAATGAATAGTTGGACTGTGAATACGGTGGTGTTCCATCGAATCGTGCATGTATGAGGCAATGTTCAGGGAAACGGTCGAAAGCTACGATGTTTGGAACGCGATACTAAGGATTCTAGGAATGCGGCCTGCATCAACTTAGCCTGCTTTGTGTTTCACGGTGATGAGGTTCTAGCCTCGGAACGCGTGGGTCGGAATATTAGAAAGGGAGGATTGGCTTCGAAGGTCTACGGTACAGCTTTTGAAACAAACCTCAGTTGTCCACTCTCGTGGAGTCAGCACGCGCTCAAGTCTTTCACTGACCGACACAGTGCCTTGTCAAGACTAGTTCGTGATTCTGATTGACGGTGCGACCACACGACAGTACAGGTCAGGTCAGGGTCAGCAATCGGGGTGCGAGTACACATGGGTAAGTAGGTCAGTTGCGCACATTCGCTGATGCCAGCGTGAGACAGGCTGGTCTTTGCGACAGGCCGAATGGTGCGCATGGATGAGCTTAACAAGTGGAGATCAAAAGTACATGAGCGGAGTGTGGAGTTATCATGGTGTCAATTTAGATTCAACACGGCCGGTTAAGCTCCCGTATATCCTGAACCGTGATGCGTGAGTTTCTGGAACAACGTGTCATCCCTACTGCAAGGCCCATTCAGTCACCGTGCCCGCCATTCACCTGGTCGTAAAGGCCACCCCGTCCCACACTTGTGAACTAGCATGTATACCTTTGACCCATTTACCCATGATTGTTCGCGCCCCGTCTGCTTGGCCTGCTCCGACCCGCTCTATCGTGATTTCCGTGTGATCGCACCGCAAATCAATCTCGCGGGATTGACCTCGGAAGGATCGACTGCAACCCATACTCACTGACGTGAGATTATAGTTCAACACCGATGCTTCACACCTTCCGCTCACCGTTGTCTGGTGTGCGAACTGATAATGCGTTGTGCCTGTGGAAATTGAGCTGCATACCACTTCCATACAACGCTGCCCGGTGATGGCTTGACGTTTGCTGGTCAGGGTGTTCGATCTACTCAGACGCAAAGCATCTGATCAAGCCATGCCACACGATGGCTGAGGTACTGCCAGGTTGCCCAGGCCTAAACAGGGGAAGTCGAGAGGCGGAGGTCGGGTTCGAACCACGGACCTTCCGGTCAGTAAATTCACACTCCAACCACTTGGGCCATCTCACCTTCTACAAACAAGTGCCGTTTTTCGTCGATTGACAATGATCTTAAATATATACGAACGGAAGACAGCTTACTGGAATTCAAAGCAAGGTTTATGTGAGGCTGACTAAGCAAAACTGCTGACCGGAAGGCCCGCAGCTCGAAACCAACCCTCGAGGATCTTGATTACTGTTGTCTGGTTTTGGGCGAGACGGCCCAATTGGTTAAAGCGCTGATCTCCTGATTAGAAAGTCCGTGGTTCGAACCCTGCCACTGCTCTGTTTGGGCTTGGGCGACCTGGCGGTATCTCAGCCTTCGTGCTTCCTTCCGGTGACATGGCAGCTAGGCGCCGAAATGGTGCCTGACAGCTGAACGGTGTCACGCCTTGGACAACCTGGCAGTATCTCAGCCCTCCTTCTTCCTTCGGCTGAAAGCTCATCATTACCAATGTCAGAGTGCGAATTACATGACATACACAAGGACCCATTATTTCGGGATCACCGGTGATCCAAGTCCCTCGAGTTTGGAAAGATGAATGATGGCGCTCGAGATCCCCATAGGTAACCACGAAACAGCGGTCGATAGAATTTCGTTGACGTTTCTGCGCGGATCCAAAGACCCGAGTGCTCAGAAGGTAAAATAGAAAGATACCTAAACCTTCGCGTTGCTGAACCCAACTGGACTAGCAAGATTTAGCCGTTTTGGATCACATTTGATTGTCCTTGGCAGTCAACGCCAGCTTGTTGGGAGTTCGGTTTGCAGTTTTTAGGGTCAACCGAAAGGACGTGTGTTGATGAGTAGCTTGGGCTGCGAACACACGTACTTGGCATTATACACACAACTTACGTTCTCGTCAGAACCGAGAGCTGAGTTCTCACAAAAACGTCGGTAATAATTGATGCCCGTTCATCGACGACTGCTCGGAGAGCTTGAGTTCACTGGTTGTGGCGCGAAATTACAGACCAGAAGGTTCGTGGTGCGAACCCAACTTAGAGGCACCTCCAGTATTTCTGTCTAGGCTTGGGCGACCTTGTGTTATCACGTGACAATGCAGCTGGGCTTCAAAAAAACATTACATCTGACGACTGTTTTCTTACTTGATTTAGTAATGGCCAACTTTTCTATTGTCTGCCTCAGTTCTGAAGGCTCTGTTGTCAGAACGCGAATTTACTCACCGGAAGGTACGTGGTTCGAACCCGACCTCTACCTTTCGACTTCCCCTGTCTAGGCTTGGGCAACCTGGCAGTATCCAAGCCCTGGTGTTTCCTGTGGGTGATACTACTGATGGGGGAAGCATGCGAGTAGTATGTTTCCTTGTAAATTCGCTTTGCGTCTCTTGGGAGATCTGTTGCGGAATTTGTGAATTCGCTTTGTAGCATTTGCTTGGATATGAGCAACAGTCAATGAATATCCAGAAAAGTTCAGGAAGACGCGTTCAGAGAGAATATGGATACTCAGTTCAGTGTAAACAAGATGCATATGAGAGTTTTGCTTCCCTGTCCAATAGTCTGTAACTGTTCAGTTGGCATTCTCTAATAAGTAACGCCGTAGCGAAGACCTTCTTACTGTCACGGGTAGCATGTGAACTAGGCATCGGAGGGGTGTTCCAGTTGAACAATTATTGATTGCTATATCTCCTAACTGACCGAAACTCTTCGGTGCGCACTTGGTGGTCGCTGAAGCACGTTTTGGGAAGCACTGATGGAACCCAAGGAGAGGATAGCAATGCAAGCCTTACAAGCACAACAGGAACACTACTAACTTAAGGATGAGAGCCTACTTCTGTGGATACGCATGATGGAGAACACTAGTGGCGAGGAGTTCCGTGGCGAATGGAACGTTAGACGATAAACCAGCCAGTACCGTTGTATAAGTTTAGTCGGACAACATCCAGTGCTTGATAAAATACAGGATGGTTTCTGCGGAAATGACTGTATATCAAGAAATCAACAAAAAGAGTATGTACAAGTGCAGGATAATAGTTTCGAGGAAATCACATGAATTCTCTCAAAGGTTCCCAGCGTTCATGGTCCAAATCTTCATCCTCTTCTGGATCATCTGATTCATCCACGGAGCTGTCACTTGGCTCGTCATTCTCCGCATCATCTTCCTCGTTACTGGCGTCACCTTCGTCGTCTGTCCCAAAAAGGCATCGAGTCAGACTCCGATGTGTTTTGTGTAATCGTTCGGCATACGAGCGCAGCTCACCCGCCCGCGCATCGCGCATGAGCAGAGCACGAGTGCGCTCCGCGTCCTCGTAGTCGTATCCTTCAGGACACGTGTTCCACTCGCGAAAATCGCACGCTTGAGCATCTTCTGAACGCCACCAATCCAAACTTGGTTCGGGATCCGAATGAATTGCGGGAGAAACTGAAACACATCTCGGGGTGGTATGCGAACGGAACCCATGCAAACTGTGAGACCGGGTTTCTGGTCCCCAACCCTGAGAAAAGATTGGATGGGATGGAATAATATAGCTAGAACACGACCTGTTCAAGTGCCAAATAACAAAAGGTTGGAGGCAGCACATAAAAAATACTACCATATAACGGTTCACAATAAAACAAGACCAAGCATATTGCTAAGAGGTAGGATCTAGGCTACGATTATTGGCAAGAGCGCAGGTTTACTGGCGGGAAGGTTCGTGGTTCGAACCCGACCTATGCCTCTCGACTTCCCCTGTCTAGGCTTCATCAACTTGGCAGTATCCCAGCCCACATGCTTCCTCCAGGTGGCATGGCAGCTAGGCACCGAAAGGGTGTTACAGCTGAACGATCATTAGCTTGGATTGCAAGGCAAAGAAGGAGTTCCACCGTACTATTAATTGGATGGAATCAACTGGGCATAAAAGGCAGTTTCGCTTCAGAGAGGTTAGGTAAACGACCCTTGTATTCATGGGTTGGTAACGTCTCGTCCTTCACAAAAAAACCTGTCAGGCCAAGTGAATAAAATAGCGGGTTGGTTGAGTCTCGAGGCATGCGAAGAACTAATCAGCGAGATTTCTTACAACTAACCGGCAAAATCAGTGATGAATGCTAGTCAGGAATTCTTGTTTGCGTAGATGACAGATGGATTAGGATGGGGGGAGGAAGTATCATCAGGCTGCATCAAGATCTTGGGGAATGCTCCTCGTGGGTTTGTGAACCTTAGTTCTCAAGTGGTTAGAGCGCGAATTTACTGACAGGAAAGTACGTGGTTCGGACCCGACATCTGCCTCTCGACTTCCCTTGTCTAGGCTTGGGCAACCTGGCAGTATCCAAGCCCTCGTGTTTCCTACGGGTGGCATGGTAGCTAGGCACCGAAAGGGTGCTACAGCTGAACGATTATTATTATTATTATTAGTCCTCATCCCGGAAATTCAACATTTTCCGAAGCTATTCTACATCCAGTGTCTAGTGCATGGTCTGGCTGATTGCCGAGTGTTTGTGCATCGCCCAAAATTGATTCTTGGTGGTCAGCTGACTGCTTGAGTTGTGTAAACCTTCGTACAAACGTCACATACTATTTTCCACACACAGTGGCTAGCGTTATCAACTGAGCATAAGGTTTTCTCCTTCTGGAATATTACTCCAATGTGAACCGTACTCAGCGTCCTGACATTGACTTCAGACGTCTCTGCTCTGTACGGGATGACTGCAGTTCCATCTTGATGATGCGGCCAATGTCCCTCTTATACAGCTGAAGATTATTATTATTATTATTAGTCCTCATCCCGGAAATTCAACATTTTCCGAAGCTATTCTACATCCAGTGTCTAGTGCATGGTCTGGCTGATTGCCGAGTGTTTGTGCATCGCCCAAAATTGATTCTTGGTGGTCAGCTGACTGCTTGAGTTGTGTAAACCTTCGTACAAACGTCACATACTATTTTCCACACACAGTGGCTAGCGTTATCAACTGAGCATAAGGTTTTCTCCTTCTGGAATATTACTCCAATGTGAACCGTACTCAGCGTCCTGACATTGACTTCAGACGTCTCTGCTCTGTACGGGATGACTGCAGTTCCATCTTGATGATGCGGCCAATGTCCCTCTTAGTTACCGGTTAATCAAATCCACAGTTATCCGATTCCTTAAGTCCTTTTATCTCTCACACCTCAGTTTGTACCGCTGTTCGGTCGACCAACGAACTTGCCCAACTAAACATGGTTGGAACAATGTATATTACCTTCGCATGTGCCAACAAGTAGCATGAAAGACCGCACCCGTTCGGCGGGTTTCTGGCAGTTCTTAATCTACCAGTCTAGGAGAGTCGGTGGTGCACCCGAAGTGGATTTTTTTCCCTTTATGCTGAACTTCATGTGAGGAATATGAAATTTACGATAGCGATTCATCAATGTAACCATGTTTGATGACAAGGAATGCGTCATCTACGTACCGCTAAACACACTACGTGGGCAGTTGAATCTAGCCAACCTAGCCAAAACCGGGGACACACTGGAGATCGTCATCGGACCCTGTTCTTGATTCTACGGAGCGTTGAGTTCGTTCCTTGAGTGTGCCAGTAGGGGGCGAGACGGCCCTCTCCCCCGGTTAGAGCGAGAATTTACTGACCGGAAGGCCCCGTGGTCGAACCCGACCTCTAACTCTCGACTTCTCCTGTCTAGGCTTGGGCAACCTGGCAGTATCCAAGCCCTCGTGCAACCTTCGGCACCGGGAGGGTGCCTAGTAGCGACCGTCTCGCTACCTCCCGAATTGCACAGATTTTGACAAATGCGCTCATTTACACACGAATTCGGTTTTGACAAGAGATTCAACTGAATCTCCCGTTTATGATGGTCCGCTCCAAGTGTGAATGCGCTGCAGCAGGACACCTGATATTTCAGTTCGCACGCTGTTCGAGTTATCGAAATCGAATTGTCTAGACGTAACACATGTGACACCATTCGAGTTGAAGTAGAGCATCGGGGTGGCAGGGAACTGGGAGAGTGCGGAGCGAAACTGATCGTGGGCTGTCGAAGAGTTTTCAGCAACCATTTGTTACGTCTAGATACCTGATATCGAACGCACAACGGCCGACATACTGCCAGGTTGCCCAAGCCTAGACAGGAGTGGTGGAAATGCGGACGTCGGATTCGAACTACGGATCTTCTGGTTCGCGCTTTAACCACCGAGCCACTTTGAGCTCCGACTGAAACATGAGGCGATCTGGTGCAGCACACCAAGTCGAAAAGGACCATCATAAACGGGGGATCCGGGTGTCAAACCCGAAATTCGTGTGCAAATGAGGGTGGTTGTCGAAACCCACCAGAGTCCTCTTAGTCACATTGTTGGGACGAGATGGTCAAAGTGGTTAGAGCGCGAATTTACTGACCGGAAGGTCCGTGGTTCGAACCCGACATCTGCCACTCGACTTCTCCTGTCTAGGCTTGGGCAACCTGGCAGTATCCCAGCCCTCATGCTTCCTCCGGGTGGCACGGCAGCTAGACACCGGGTGTTACCGCTGAACGATTTTTTTCGTCAGATTGTTAAGTTAAGGCCTCAAATTCGGGTACGTTGCGACAACTGGAGCCATCATGTGGGTTGTACAACTTGTAAACGAGAATGAATATATTTGCGAGCAACAAATGAACGTACAATGAGGTACTGTAAGCAAGAACTTGCCTTTGGGTAGTCAGCATCCCATATGTCACTGTCTTCCGAATCAGTGTCTTGCGCCGCAGAATGGTTTGCCATTGTCCTATATGAGCGAGTCACAAAGGCCAAATCGTCCGCGGAACGACGCCTCCAGTCCTGACGTCGAAGGTAGGTATCCAACCGGTGGAGCTTACGATCAATTTTTCTTGCTTCTTCCGGCGAGGCCCGACATCTGCGACGAAGCAGCAGTTCTCGTTGGACCTTGAACAATGAAGGGAAGCCGGTGGTTACTTACTTAAGAGACGTCTACAAGTCAATTGCCAAGCTCAACGCACCGATCAATAGCCACCAACTCAACTACTAAGAACCAGAAGGTATTGGAACTCTTCCTCTCTTCTGCAAGCAACTGATCAGAAGATCTGTAGCCTAAGGCCAAATCTGGTTTTTGGACCACTTCTATCCGAATTAGATAATGAGTAGTGGGTAACATTTCCTAACAACTAAAGGCTTGAGTTATCCACAAACTGAGATAACTCTACGCAAAACTGATTGGCGTTTGAAACATCTGGAACTGCACCGCCGTTTCACCAGTTGTGTCAAATCACGCGAAAGCTGATGCCATCATCATTACTGGCAGAAGCGCGTACTTGTCGTACAGTGGTTGTAGCTGCCACAGTTTCGTTCACCGATGATTCGGGGGAGGTGGGGAAAAAACCGGCCATTGGAGGCGGGAGCTGATAAATGGGCGCGTAAATACAGCACTGTTAGTGGGTTGATTGCAGAGGGAGCTATGCATAGCTTGGATGCACGAGCGCCATTGAAGGCGCGACTGGGCCATGTCTGACAATGTTTCTAACCATTGATATGACCCGTCTCGGGATCCCCATCCAGGAAGATGGCAGGTATCAACGCAGCTAAGTTTACTCGTAGTGGCTTTTATTCTTCGCTACCAAGTCATTGTTTGACGGCCTCTGACTCTATTCCACCCTTCACGTGGTTGTGCGAAAAGAGCCCGTCGACTGGCATGCGCAGCACGTGACCAAGCTAGCGCAACCTATGCAGTGTGATCAGTTCATCCATCGAAGGTGAGTTATTTCTTCCGAATACCATTCGACGTACTTCAGCACTGAGATTCAATGAACCTAACTAAGTTGGTCAGATGATCAAGTTGTAGATCCTCTATTTCAAGCCCTTCCAGCAAATCACTTCCACGTGGGTAGTGGATATGAGAAGCCACTGCAACAGAATGATCACATAATCGGAAAGAAGTGCTAAGGCCTCGCCCTAGACAAGATGTGTGGATCGAATGGCCTAAACCGAGCCGCACGCGTGTTCTGGAACAAAGACGTGTCGACAGAAACTGAAAGCAAAATATCAGCCATTCTTTTGAAGAGAAGGCTGTTATAGGAAACCGATCTTTTGAAGTTTTAGATCCTTAGTTTCAGTTCTACAGTTGTTGAAGGGTCGTTCACTGTAAACCCAAAGAGGAATCAGTCGAAACCTCGTGTAAGATGGTGTTCAAATGAGACTGTTGTACAAAGGACGTTTCAGGGTTTAGTCGAGATGCTGTTCAAGAGATTGACGTGTTTGTCTAGACCCAACTGTGTTCTCAACAGCTGTTTTCCCATTGCCAGTGATCGTGTAAGCTAGCACTGGCACGTAACATCGTTCTCGTCTTTGAAAAGGAGGACAAGATACGGATGTTTTTGAATGAACTGATTAAAGACATTCCGCCCCTCGGCACCATCATCATCGACAGCATGACATCAGTGCTCAACACCGATGCTTCACTGCCGTATAACCATGACTTATTTGAAAGCCTTATTGTAAAGAAAAGAGTAAAGGTGGATGGGGGAGGGACTTAGTGCTAGCTTAACACAATCATTCCGAGGTGCCTACACCTCCAGACATTCACTCAGGC